TATTACATAAGGAGAGGGGTGCACAGATCTACGAGAAAACCACATCGTCGTTAAGACGAAAAATATGGAACGCGACGGTTCCCTAGAGGAGATTTTTTAGTGACCTGCAAGTGGCTCATACCAGTAACTAAAAGATGGTTTTAAGATATTTAAATTAAGTATGATTTCTTCTTCAGGAATAATTGGAGCGTTAATTAAAATATTCGGACTTGAAAATTCTGCAAACATATTGTATATAATGCTATTGTCACTTAAAATGATATATTTGTATTTCATCGCGGACGGAAATTTGGAAATCCTTCGTTTGGAGTTGACGAAATCATAAAACGATTTTGGATTAGTTAAAATATTCTTTTTTACTTTATTAAGTAATTATTATAACATTTTTTGTTTAGATTTTTTTTATCGGTGGTTGATTTCGGTAATTTAACAATGCTTTCCTCAGTATGATCTCTAAGTTTAGGCTTAAATTCGCGTACAAAAGCCTTGGGTGATCTTTTTGAAGGTTTTAAGGAAAACGTCTATTTTAAATATGATATACTTCTTTCATAACTGAAGTTAAATTTAAGGATATTGATATCATCAATTTTTAAGCACAGCGAAATGTAAGACTTAATGTTCTCCACCGAGGTATCCTTGGCAAGTCTAGAAATATATTTAGATCTTTTAGAGGGAATAACCACCAAATTTTTAACAGATAGTATTAAGTTATTAGGGGAAGCCTCTGGAATTGTGAGACACTTATTAATGTTAGTTTCAACGGCAAGGAGAAGATAGATTATATATATTGTACTTGTAGATAGATAGATTAGGAGCAGGTTTGGAGGATTCGTGAGAATCGTTCAGGCACTTAAAAGATTTGAACAATTTTTCGTAGTGCCGAAATATTTTGGCGAGGGTTTCAAGACCTCGACCGATTTCATTAGCCATTGCGTGTCTACTTATAAACTTTAAATAGATCGATTTCAGTTGATTTCAATTTGAACAGGACCAACGCAATCCCTCTCGCCTTTAATGTTACAGTTGGGGAAGTTACATGAAAAATAAACAACAAAGAATATTAAAAAAAAGTATGTATAACAAAATCTAATAGATATATAATAAATTAATCTGTTAATATAATTTTAATAATAACAAATCTAATTAAAAACAAGTAAGGAAGGGCTAAGTTAGCCGAACATTTTATACTCTCGCAAAGTCAAATGGTATACTCGTTTGAGATTTCTTTGTGGATTGACTGATATTTTCGGTAGAAGGTCAACTATAGGCACTGGGGTCCACATATTTAGTACTTTGGGGGCTTGAACAGTTTTGGTTCGATTTAGACAATTTTTGGTCACAAGGTGGCATACTTTAAACGTATTATTCACGCAAAGTTTTACCCCGATATGATCATTGTTGCTTGATATGCATAGTGGAAAGTAAAAGAATCAGATGAAATTGAAAATGGTGTTATATGGGAAATAGGCGTGGTTGTAGTCCGATTTCGCCCATTTTCGCACTATGACATACCATCCCAGAGATAAAATTTAATGTCTCTGGCGTGTTTAGTGCTTGGTTTATCTCGCTTTTAGTATTTTTTAACAGTACCGTTATATGGGGAGTGGGCGGGCTTGTCACCCGATTTCACCCATTTTCACACCGTCAATAGAGGTGCTAAAAAAATTAGCTTTCAGTGAATTTTGTTGTTATAGCATATGATAGCATGGAGTGATGCACATTCAACCAATTAGGGGGGGGACCACGCCCACTTTAAAAATTTTTTTAACTACAGATGCCCCACCCTAATGAGATCCTGTGTACCAAATAACAGTGTTGTATCTTATTGCGGAGCTTAGTTATGGCAATTTATTTGTTTTTGATTAATGGCGTTTTGTGGGAGTGGCAGTGGTCCGATTACGCCCATCTGCAATACCAACCGTCTCAAGGTACCAAGAAACATGTCTACCAAGTTTCATAAAGATATCTCAATTTTACTCAAGTTACAGCTTGCACGGACGGACAGACAGTCACCCGGATTTCAACTCGTCTCTTCATCCTGATCATTTATATATATATAACCCTATATCTAACTCGATTAGTTTTAGGTGATACAAACTACCGTTAGGTGAACAAAACTATTATACTCTGTAGCAACAGGTTACGAGAGTATAAAAATTGTGCATTGATAGGACACATTTATTCTATTATGTGATTGGGCACACCCTGTTTAATTGACCGGGGGTCCCGCTTATTTGAATCACCTGATCGGTCAAAAATATATGGCATACAAAATATATGTAAATTTTCCCTCTTAATTAAATTTGATTCGGAAAACAAGTTTTTGTGTGAATTAGGGAATATAGTATCGCATGTTATTTCACGTAGATGAAACAATATGCAAAAACAAAATTACATACTTTTTAAATTACTATTTTATAAATGTAAGCAACTTATTCTAAATAAGTGAATGCAAAAGCTGTATATATGTAGTAATATGATTTGATATTGTCCTTAAGTTAATTTTATTATAACATGGATCTCTTAATATACATATAAGTGCATTGTCTTGTTTTTGTTCTCTTCTTTCTGTTTAAAATTAAAAATAATATTTAAATATCATTACTTAAAACTAAATAAATACTTAAAGTGCACATATGATTTTTTTAGGTTGTTCAATTAAGCCAGTTAAATTGCCCGAATTGTTCAATTAAACGAGTATCGGGTAATTGATCCCCAGTTAAATGAACCAAAAATTGTGCAAGGTTTGAAGTACAAATATCCCTGCCAAATGTACATATATATACAATATATAGTCCACTTGATGTTTAGCAATAATTTGTATACTCTCGCAACCTGTTGCTACAGAGTATAATAGTTTTGTTCACCTAACGGTTGTTTGTATCACCTAAAACTAATCGAGTTAGATATAGGGTTATATATATATAAATGATCAGGATGAAGAGACGAGTTGAAATCCGGGTGACTGTCTGTCCGTCCGTGCAAGCTGTAACTTGAGTAAAATTGAGATATCTTTATGAAACTTGGTAGACATGTTTCTTGCTCCCGTAAGACGGTCGGTAGTGCAGATGGGCGCAATCGGACCACTGCCACGCGCACAAAACGCAATTAATCAAAAACAAATAAATTGCCATAACTAAGCTCAGCAATAAGATACAACACTGTTATTTGTCACACAGGATCACATTAGGGAGGGGCATCTGCGGTTAAATTTTTTTGAAAAAATGGGCGTGGTGCCGCCCCTAATAGGTTTAATGTGCATATCTCCTAAACTTATAATAACAAAATTCACTGAGAACAAATGTTTTTAGCCCCTCTACCTACAGCGTAAAAATGGGTGAAATCGAGTGACAACCCCGCCCACTCACCATATAACGGTACTGTTAAAAACTACTAAATGCGCAATAAATCAAGCACTAATCACGTCAGAGACATTAAATTTTAACTCAGGGATGGTATGGGATGACTTTATAGGAACCGCGTTCAAAATTAGACAGTGGGCGAGGCACAGCCTACTTTTAGGTGAAAACCCATATCTTGGGATCTACTTAACCGATTTCAACCAAATTCCATGCATAACGTTCTTTTCATATTTCTATGTTATATTGCAAATATGGACTAAATCGGACTAAAACCACGCCTATTTCCCATATTACACCATTTTCAATTCCATCTGAATCTTTCACTTTCCACTATGCATGTCAAGCAACAATGATTAATACGTTTAATGTATGCCACCTTCTGACCAAAAATTGTCTAATCGAACCACTAAATATGTGGACCCCAGTGACTATAGTTGGCCTTCTACCGAAAATATCAGCCAATCAACAAAGAAATCTCAAACGAGTATACCATTTGACTTTGCGAGAGTATAAATGTTCAATTTAGACAATTTTTGGTCACAAGGTGGCATACTTTAAACGCATCATTCACACAAAGTTTTACCCCGATGCAATCATTGTTGCTTGATTTGCATAGTGGAAAGTGAAAGAATCAAGTCGAATTTAAAGAGATGTCATATGGAAAATAGGCGTGGTTGTAATCCGATTTGGCCCATTTTCGCACCATAATATAGAAATATGAAAAGAATGTTATGTTCCGAATTTGGTTGAAATCGGTTAGTCAGATCCCAAGATATGGATTTTCACCTAAACGTGGGTTGTGCCACGCGCACTATCTAATTTTGAACGCGGTTCCTATAAAGTTATCTCATACCATCCCTGGGTTAAAATTTAATGTCTCTGACGTAATTAGTGCTTCATTTATTGCGCATTTAGTAGTTTTTAACAGTACCGTTATATGGGGAGTGGGCGGGGTTGTCACTCGATTTCACCCATTTTTACGCTGTAGGTAGAAGGGCTAAAAACATTTGTTCTCAATGAATTTTGTTATAATAAGTTTAGGAGATATGCACATTAAACTTATTAGGGGCGGCACCAAGCCCATTTTAAAAAAAAATTTAACCGCAGATGCCCCTCCCTAATGTGATCCTGTGTGCCAAATAACAGTGTTGTATCTTATTGCGGAGCTTAGTTATGGCAATTTATTTGTTTTTGATAAATTGCGTTTTGTGCGCGTGGCAGTGGTCCGATTGCGCCCATCTGCACTACGGACCGTCTTACGGGAGCAAGAAACATGTGTACCAATTGATAAATATATCTCAAATTCTACTCAAGTTACAACTTGCACAGACGGACGGACGGACGTCGTCTCTTTATCCTGATCAAGTATATATATATAACCCTATATCTAACTCGATTAGTTTTAGGTGATACAAACAACCGTTAGGTGAACAAAACTATTATACTCTGTAGCAACAGGTTGCGAGAAAATGATAAATAAACTTTATTCCTTCTCTTTAAAAATTAATGCCTCGGACTGAGTATGTATAGACATATACACACATATATTGAACTACATAAACAAAATATAGTAAAATTTTTAAAGGTTTGGTTCTATATATGAGTAATACAGTTTTTTATAATTTTGTGAATACCTACTTTTGTATAAACCCCAGCACTGCTCAATTCGTTTTCAATCACCATAACGATTATACCGAACATGCCCATTACCAAGGCATAATCACTAATGCGTTTCCTTTTCTCAAATAGAGCTTTTCTTTTACCAAGCCGGTATCCAACGTTGGGTTTGTGCTTTGCTGAAATCGTTGACGGCTTCCTGGATGTATTACCGCCAGTAAGAGCTCGTTCCTCCATATACCTGAGTAGTGTAATAAACAAGAATAATAATTGGTTAACATTACGCTAGCGTAACATCTAAACTAACAAGTAAGGAAGGGCTAAGTTCGGGTGTAACCGAACATTTTATACTTGTGCAACTTGCAAGGATCATAGCCGGGGACAACTCTTCGAATTTTAATAATATATCTGATAGGTTGACCGATATTTTCAGTACAAAGTTTGCAATAAGAACTGGCGTATTTGGACAATTTTTGGTCATAGGGTGGCTCGCGTCAAAAGAACTATTCGTGAAAAGTTTTTTACGGATACATTGATTGGTCCATGTTTGACATCGGCACTTTCGTACCATTTTGGATGTAATATTTTAAGACTTTGGTGCATTTAGTTATAGAACTATTTCACTTTTAATGGCTTTTAACAAGTTTTTAAACGGGGTTATAATCCGAAATCACAAATTTTCACAGCGTAAGTAGGGGTGCTAAAAAGATTTGACTGAGCGAATTTGGTTTTTATAGCTTGAATAGTTTAGGAGTTATGTACATTAAACTTATTAGGGGGCGGGCCCACGCCCACTTTTTTAAAATTGTTTCAACTATAAAGACCCGTCGATTAAACAATTCATTATACTTAATAAAAGCCTTGTATTGTGGGGCTAAGTTATGGTACTTTGTATGTTTTCAATTAATGGTGTTTTGTGGGCGTGGAAATGGTTCAATCAATTGCCCCTCTCTAACCCTCCTTGGAGGCTAAAGAGTATGTGTACCAAGATTCATCAAATGATTTCAATTTGTACTCCAGCAACATGTTGCTACAGAGTATTATAGAGTTGTTTGTATCATCTTAAACTAATCGAGATAGTTATGGAGTTATACATAGTACATAAATGATCAAGATGACGAGACGAGTTGAGTTTCGTCTGCCTATACGTCCGTGCACACGATAACTTAAGTAAGAACTGATTTATGTATCTAATTTGGTACAGTTGTTTATTGGCGAAGAAAGGAGAACGAATTCATAGATGAGCGTATATTTTCTTCAGGGGATTGCAGTAGCAAGGAGTACATGTGGGCCTAAAATTTAGAAAAAATGAGCGTGGTCCCGCCCTCTTAAAGATTTGATATTCATACGTATCTCCAAATCATTCATATTATTTTAACCAAATTCGTTCAGGGCCTTAAGTACCCCTACCGATATCGTTCCCATGACAGTCCGGTCTACGTAACCGGACCGCACGCGGATTTTATCCGGCCAAGTGCGGTTGATTCGGCAGAATTCTGCCACTACAATAACAACAACACCGTAAAACTGGATAAAATCGGATAATAACCCTGCCAAGTTCCCATATAACAGTTCTATTAAAAACTACTAAAAGCTTGATAAATCAATACGCGTCATAAACATAAAATTTTATACCCTGTGGTGGGTGGTTGGTAGAAGATTAATGAGTATAAAATCTCCTCCAAATATACCGCTCCACCCAGGAACTAACTGCCTATATTTGAGAACTCCACATGCGATGACATCTGACCTCATCAACTCTACAAAAGGAATTGGATCATCATTTCGCCAACAATTCGTTTCGTTTCGTCAACAGTGTCGTTTGTACCTTTTCTATACGACACTGACCCTGGCTATTAACTCTTCGTATTTGGTGCTTATTTTACATCGGCTACCGAACATATTTTTAAATTTAACGTGCATACATGAATTGTATCTACAATTAAGTTAAATAAATTGCTTATGCAAGTGTTACTTTATTAAATAGTGTGTGCTTCCAATATCTTGGGTACATTTTTATTCAGATGGAATTAAAATTGTGATATATGAGAGGTAGGCGTAATGGAATCCAATTTCGCTCATTATCGCATGCGACATAGGAATGTCAGAACAATGTTACTTACCTAATTTATTGGTCGATAGGTCCCGTCATATAGGTTTTCAATTTTGACAGTGTATAAATTTTTATGTTATGACGCGTATGATTTATCAAGCTTTAGTAGTTTTTATAGAATGGTTTATGGAACTGGGCAGGGTTATTTAAAATCCGCGTGCGGTCCGGTTACGTAGACCCGACTGTCAGGGAACGATATCGGTAGGGGTACTAAGACCCTGAACGAATTCGTGTAAAATAATGTGAATGATTTGGAGATACGTATGAATATCAAATCTTTAGAGGGCGGGACCACGCTCATTTTCTCTAAATTTTAGGCCCACATGTACTCCTTGCTACTGCAATCCCCTGAAGAAAAATACGCTCATCTATGAATTCGTCTCCTTTCTTCGCCAATAACAACTGTACCAAGTTAGATACATAAATCAGTTCTTACTTAAGTTATCGTGTCACGGACGGATAGGCAGACGAACTCAACTCGTCTCGTCATCTAATCATTTATGTACTATGTAATCTCATAACTATCTCGATTAGTTTAAGATGATACAAACAACTCTATAATACTCTGTAGCAACATGTTGCTGGAGTACAAATTGAATCATTTGATGAATCTTGGTACACATACTCTTTAGCCTCCAAGAGGGTAGAGAGGGCAATTGATTGAACCATTTCCACGCCCACAAAACACCATTAATTGAAAACATACAAAGTACCATATATAGCCCCAATACAAGGCTTTTATTAAGTACAACGAATTGTTTAACGACGGTCTTTATGGTTGAAACAATTTAAAAAAGTGGCGTGGCCCGCCCCTAATAAGTTTAATGTACATAACTCCTAAAATTCAAGCTATAAAAACCAAATAATATTCTTTCATTTTGATACTGAACAGGATATATTAAGTTTGCCACGGTAGTCACGGAGTTCTCAAATAGGAGTGTGGCGATGTCGTCGTTTGTGGTAGATCCTGTGAGTGTTTCAGATTGTTCCAGGATGTGGTGTATATGGTGGTTGATATTAGGGCGTTAGTTTCCTGGGTGAGCGGTATATTGAGGAGGAATTTATACTCATTTAAACATGGGCCCCTAGGAATAGTATTAATCTTTTTTGAAGTAGGATTTGAAGCTTTGTAGGTGATTCCCATAAACCACCCTATCAGGAGCGCTAGATAGATGCGATAAGTGCACCTTGTGCTTTTGTAAGTCTAAGTGGTCACTAAACATTGGGAGTATGTGGATCCTTATCTTGATTTTACTTATTTATAAGTATGAAAATTTAGACAACGATGAGGGACTATAGAAAAGAGGTGTCCATTTCTACATTCTTGTACATTTTTACATGTTATGTTAAGTGCATATGCACTAATTTCGCAAGTAGCAGCGAGCCACATAGCTCAAGATTTTTGAATCAGGAGTTTGGTATCATTATTGGCAAGAGCCATCCTGCGGGATCGAAAAGTTACATATTGCGCTTTTCAAACTGATCTTGTCAGAAGGACTCTGACTTTGTTTTCTGCAATTTGAGTGTTGGAACATTATGAATTTAGTGGTAATCGTATGACGTACCGATCATTATTGGATCTAATAGTTGTGGCTTTGTAGAAGTCTTTACAATACTGATCTCCTGGGGTTGTAATTGATACGATGACTATTTTTAAAACTCTGAAATTTATTTAATTGTGAATTTTGCCAATACTTGTGTGAAACCTTTGCCAATACTTGCTATATATGTGATAGCTTAGTAAGCATATAATTGCGGTAGACCGCTCATCCGCTTGGGGAAATTAGGCAATGGGGCAGATTTTGTTTGAGTTTTGAACTACCTTCCGCGCATTATTGTAATTGCAAAGTTGGCTTGTTTGTTGGCAGTTGTAGCCTATATTGTGCCCTAGACGCTATAAATGATCGTTCGATCCTTGGTCTATTAAGGCCCTAAGCTAAAACAGTTCTTCTTGGTGTTCGATGGAGATGACTGCTGTGGTAATGATACTCATTTTGTATTTCGCGTGCAGCGTTTGAGATTTTGCGCCTTGGCGAGCATGGTGTCTCTTGGTAATTTTTAAGTTTGTTTTTGGAATGTTGGTAGAACTAAACACGTGGTTTTGTTTGTATAAAGCGTTTTGAGGTGATAGAACAATTGAATTTGCATTTACAATTTTATGAGTATGCGTATGGGCATGGGACAAGCAATTTGTAAAAGTCTTTTGAGTGACAAAATTATTTCGTTCGTTAACTTTATGTTTTAAATTTCGCGAAGATTGTAGTTATGCCCTCTTGTGCGGATGTGAACGATATCGTTTGTAAAACTTGTTTAAATTGTTGTTGCTACTGGCTTTGGGTCTGTGAAGCTCTATTTAGGTCGTGTTGAACGCTTCTTTTCAACTATTTTTTGTCTACCCTTTCTGCGACTTCGTACGGGTAGTTCGGTAACCTTTCATCTGTTGCCACGTGGGTATTTTCTTCGTGACGAGAGCAATTGCTCCCATAGAAGTAATGATTTTCTGGTAATGCGGCGGTGCATATGTTTACCAGTATAGGGTCCCAGCTGTCGGTGGAAATATTCTGTGTCGACAAGCAGTTTGAAACAGTGGATTGTAGTTTAATAAATTCTTCACTTTGTTTTTTGAATCTTAGGCAAGTTTATTAGCGTCGTTACTTGTTTACTGCTAATATTCTTTCATTTTTATACCCTGAACGAAGAAAAAGGCAATCGCTATGATTCGCCAATTTGGGCTTCCAACTTCTTTATCACTTTATCGGCTGCAGGATCTCAGTGGGTTGAGCTTTGTCATCCTCTCTAAAACTGTTGATTCTAAAGATATTTCGGAAGAGGAAGCCAACAGTTTAACAACTCCAAGATAGATATCGCTTAATTCGTCAGACGCGGTTACTTGTGCTAGATATTTGACTACCGCTATCGACAAATTCTTAAGCTTTTAAAGACGCGGCATTTTGGGGAGCATTTTGTTACAAATGCTACTGGAGAGTGGAGTTTCAACAGAGAGGTTCCGCATGTACATGGTATGTATTGGCTTAATAATGCTCCCAGGATCAACCTTCAATATCCTCAGACATTCCTGATGTCATTAGTTTATTTACAATTATATTTCTACCGATGGTTCGATCAGC